TCATGTTGTGGAGTCTCAGGAAGAAATTCCTCCCTGTGAGGATGGGCAGGCCCTGGCAGGGGTTATTCCATGGATTCCCCATCCCTGGCAGTGCCCAAGGCCAGGCTGGACAGGGCTGGGAGCAGCCTGGGACAGTGGGAGGTGTCCCTGCCATGGCAGGGGTGGCACTGGGTGGGCTTTGAGGTCCCTTCCAACCCAAACCATTCCATCATTTATAAACAACAACAGAAGAAGCTCTCAGGGTACAGCTCCTGTTCAAGGCTCCTGAGCTATTTCCAGCCCAGAAAACCTCATTTACCTGGTTGAGACTTCCCACTGATCCATATTATTTGGTCCAAAATGCAGTTTCCTGTGTCTGAAACTTTCTCCTGGATTCTTTTTCAGGCTTTTACCTCTCCTCTAAGTGTCTCTAACAGTTTTTGACAGGAGAAGTCAGAGGTTTCCACACCTATTCCCAGTGGAGGAGATGAACTGGGTTGTTCATACCCTGGATAAAACCAGAGCAATTTTCCCTTCTCTTAAATTCCAGGAGGTAATCTAGGATAATGGAACTATTAGATTTGGCATCTGTAAGGTGGTTATCATTTCAGAAGGAATTGTTTCTGTTAATGGCAGTTAACTTGCTACAAATAAAGCAAGAGAATTGAAATCTTAAGTACCAGAGTGGCAGCAAACCATGAAACATTATCCTGCTCCATGGAAGGAAGGCTGAGCCAGCTGTCAGAGAAGAAATCTATTGGAAAAACCCTCTGATGGATTCCAATTGGAACTAATTTAATGTGGCAGCAGCATCCAGCTCTTCAACTTTCTATTAGAAATATTAAAATGTCTATAAATAATAATATTAAAGTGGGCAGCTTTCATCCAAGGAACTCGTGGGTTTAATCAGGATGAGTTTGGTGGCTGTTGGTGGAGCTGAGCTGTGAAATCCTTGGAATTCCTGAGCTGCCCTGGGGTCCCCAGGAGCTGCCCTGGCAGATTTGGGCACTGTGTGAGGTGTGGATGGAGAGCTGTGAGCCAGCTCTGGGGAATTCAGGGATGTTCTCCACCTCTGCAGCCCAAATCTGCTCAGTCCAGCCTTGGAGTGCTCCATGGCCTGGACAGGGCTGGAATGGGCTTTGGGCCAGGATTTGGGGGCTGCTGTTACCCCACAGGATCCTGTCAGCCCATTCCTGCCTCGAGAGCAGCTTCCCTCTGCAGAGCAGCCATTCCTGGGGGCCCTGGGACTTCCATGGGCTCACAAAGGTGAGGATGGGCTGTCACTATAGGACACCAAAGAACACAAGCTCACACTGCTGTTCTTAAGGTGAAGAAAAAGGGAAGTTTATTTTCTGACTCCAACATTTATAGTTTTCTAAATGTGGCAGTGGATTGGAGGGTGACAGTGCCACCTCTCCAATGACTCTGGTCAAACCAGCAGTCCATCAAATTTCTCCTCCTCCATAAAGGAATGCAAAACAATGAGTTATTTACAGAAAGTGTGTGAGAAAGTTCGCTACAAGAATGTCAACATCAGAAGGCTTAGAAAATCTTAAAAAACCAGGGTGACAATGGGCATCCCATCCCCCTGTTCAGAGCTCAGAGCTCAGGGTGGGCAGAGGAGCCCTGGAGCTCCCAAAATCAGCCTCTGTTAGGACCTTGTGTTGGGATGTTGGGGGTCTTCATGGCCAACCCCTCCCTGTAAAATTCACTGGCACCTCCCTGCTGGACTGAGTGGGTCCCTGGGATTTTCCTTTACAGCACAGATCCAAAGAGCAGCAGTCAGATGGGAAAATGCTTTTTCTATTTCTGTTCCAGCACAGGGAATATCCCAGGGGCAAACAGTGCACACACCATGGCAGCAGCAGCAGCTGAGAGTGCCCCCAAGCAGAACCACGTGGGATGTGCAGTGCTGGGCTCTGGGCAAAGTGCACTTTTATGGAGAGGGTCACGAGGGCTAAGCACTCCAAAAATCCCCTGAAATGTGATCTCAGTGTGTTGTGAATCACAACTGCATCCTCATCTCAGGGCAGCTGGAGCAGCTGGAGAGCTGGTCCATGGGTTTGTGAGTAATGAGGGTCATTAGTAAACACAGCCATCTATAATGTCCTTAAAATTGCACAGTTATGACAAATTAACTCCTGGCACTGTGATTTTCCTCCCTCCTTGTGCTATTCCATTGATGCTCATAGTTTTCTGGGTTATTTCTCTGTCCCTGGCTGCTCCTGCAGTGTGAGCTGAGAGCTCTGAGCTGGAGGGCACGAAGTGCAGGATGGATGTGACAGCTTGATCCCTAACCCTGAGCCCTGCTGATACTGGGGGAACTGGGCAGTGACCCCACAGATGCTTCTCCAAACAGTTTTTACAGGATTTGCTTCTATGAATTTGCAGTGAGCTTGCTGCTGGTGGCCATGGCTCTTTTGTGATTCCAACTGGAAATGCTCTGTCCTGGAATACCCTAAAAATACCCATCCTAAAGTCTACTCCATTCCAGACAAGCTGGAAGTAGGAGAAGGGTGTTTTGGTTTGGAAAAAGAGGTGTTTGGTGAGGAAGGCAGGAGCCTTCCTAGAAATGGAAAATGTGAAATCCCTCCCTCTAAATTATTATAATTTTGAAATTAAGGGGCTCTTGGGCAAAGATACGGGAAGAGGAATAACAGCTCTTTACTAGGAAAATTTAAAATACAAATGCAATAATACAAACAACAACAACAAACCACAGCCAGAGTGAGAGCAGTCCCTGCCCCCTGTGTGTCAGGGCGGTGTCCCAGCCCCATCCATGGGGGCTCAGCCCTCCTGCAGTGCCAGCTGTGGCTCTGCTGCAGCAGGGATCCTGCACAAGGGGGGAGTTTTCCTCTGCAGCTCCAGGGCTGCTGCAGATGGGCCTGGGCTCCCTCTGGCCATGCAGGGCAGCAGAAAGCTGCTCCTCTGGCAATGCAGGGGGCAAAGGCTGCTGTGCTGGGCCAGGCTCAGATTGGATCCAGGTAGGAATGCTTGGCTCCTCCCCTGGGCGGAGCATCTCCCCATGGGATGCTGGGATTGGATCAGCCCTGCAGGGACACTCAGTGGCCATGGACAGCAGAGATCTCCTGGAGGGAGGGTTGGCTGTGGGAGAGATAAAGAAAAAACTGCCCAGGGACAGCAGAGAACTGCCCCAGCTCTGACAGATGGGGATAGAATACACACACCCATATATAACCTAAGACAAAGGGAAAGGCCATTATTATATTTCCATTATTATATTTCCATTATTATACTTCCATTATTATATTTCCTTCATTTATGGCAGAGTTCTTCCCTTGCCCACAGACACCCTGAAGTATTTCCAGTAAAGCAAAGCCTGAGAGCTCCTCCATAAAAACTCCAGGCATACCTTCCTCCAGTCTGTACAGCCTGAAATGAGCTTGGATTTTCGAGCATTTATTGCAGTGGTAAAACAATGCCTTCAAAGGCACATAGCCATGAAATCTTTGGGATGAGTGGTTGTTGGGAAAGATGAAAGTTTCACAAGAAAATCTCACAGATATATATGCTTAGCAGAAAGATTTTTGAAGGAAGAATATGAAGAAGGAATAGAGATGGAAGCAAGTTTGATATAGAAGAAAAGAATTGCTGAGCCAGTCTCACTGGATAACCAAGGAGGCAAAGGGTGTGTTAGTTAAAGGGGATTTTATGGCTTAGAGCAAAGGATAAACCCACCTCAAACAAGAAGATGTTTTTACCAAGCAGAAAGAGAGCACAGGCAAACAAGGCAGCAAATGTGGCAAGTAGAAAAAAGGTCTCAGAATTTTCCACTGCAAGAAAACTGAGAAACAACTTCTAGCTTAACCTGTAATGTACTGACTGATAGTGATTGGAGAACAGTAACATGAATATGGTAATTACAGTAGTTATGGTAGGCTATAGATAAAAGCTGACTATCCTGGCTATCCTCTTGGCAGCCCTGGTAGAATGAACCAAACTCAAATCCGAAAAATCCTAGCTTTTTCTTCCATCTCCCACCTTGGCTGGTAGCAATCATTATCATCTACAACCCTAAACTTACCCTCCTCAACTTCTACCTATATGCTATAGAAGTTATATATGAAAATAACTATAAAAAACAACTGCAACCGTTTTCCTCACCCAAAATACAATCAAGATTAGTACTACTGTATGAAGATGCTCAGCAAAGAAAAGTCTATAATGCAATGTAACCTAAACTCAGGGTCTCCAGGCCTGGCTGCAGCTGGAGCTGACAGCTGTGGGCACAGCTCTGTCACCCATAATCCCGGGCTGCTGTAACACCTTGGGTACAATAAACTGCATTTTGTACACAATAAACTGCATTTTGTATACAAGAAACTGCATTTTGTATACAATAAGCTGCATTTAGAAGAGCAGCCTAGAGTCCCATATCCCTTATTCAGGCTCTTACAAGCAGCGGCGGGAGGCAGCTGAGCCCAGCAGCAATGAGCCCGTGGGCCAGCTGGGGTGGAGCAGTGTCCCTCAATGTCCCTCAGTGTCCCTCAATGCCCCTCAGTGTCCCTCAATGTCCTTCAGTGTCCCTCAATGCCCCTCAGTGTCCCTCAGTGTCCCTTAATGCCCCTCAGTGTCCCTCAATGCCCCTCAGTGTCCCTCAGTGTCCCTCAATGTCCCTCAGTGTCCCTCAATGCCCCTTAATGTCCCTCAGTGTCCCTCAATGTTCCTCAATGTCCCTCAGTGTCCCTCAATGTCCCTCAATGTTCCTCAATGTCTTTCACTTCCCTCAATGTCCCTCAGTGCCCCCCAGTGTCCCTCGATGTCCCTCAATGTCCCTCAGTGTCCCTCAGTTCCCTCACTGTCCCTCAGTGTCCCCCAGTTCCCTCACTGGCCCTCAGTGTCCCCCAGTGTCCCCCAGTGTCCCTCATGTCCCTTAATGTCTCTCAATGTCCCTCAATGTCACTCAGTTTCCCTCACTGTCCCTCAGTGTCCCCCAGTGTCCCTCATGTCCCCCAGTGTCCCTCAGTGTCCCTCACTGTCCCCTGCGCTCTCTCCCGCAGGACCCCGGCCATGATCGGCTGCTCCTTCGTGGTGAACAGGAAATTCTTTGGCGAGATTGGGCTGCTGGACCCCGGCATGGACGTGTACGGAGGGGAGAACATCGAGCTGGGCATCAAGGTCAGTGCCATGGGCAGCAGGATGTCACCTGAGGGTGCTCCCAGGAGCCCAGAGGTGTCACTGGGCTGAGCAGTGACTGGGATCCTCAGGGCAGCTGGGGGGTTCTGGCATTCGCAGCGTTTTAATTTCACTTTGCGGGAGAAAAATGACTTGGTTCTGGGGATGAGTTTCATTTTTTTTTCCTCGGATTCCAATCTGTGTGAGCTGATGCAAAAAGCTGCTGGGATGAAGTGGCATTTCCAGCTTGAACCTGGCTGTGTTGTCACAGTGTTGTTGGAAGTTACAGGGATCTTTAATAAGCACAGTTGGGTGAGCAGTGTTTGGGGGTGCTGGGGCTCCTCTGAGTGTCTCAGGAAGACACAAAGCCTGCAAATATTTTCCATTTGCATTTAGCATCTGCAAATAAAACGTGCTCTCAAGCACAAAAGCTGCTTTGAACAGTGAAACTCTACAAGGCAGGATTTCAGAGCTGCCTCAGTGCCTCCCCCTGACAACATCCCCTGATTGCTGTGTACAATATTAGATCTGGCTTAGTGATTCAAGTGTTTACACACACTGAAGTGATTCATAAGTGATGAATTCCATGTTCAGAGTAACCTGGGATGGCAGAGTCTGTGGAGATTCTTCCAGGCATGCTTTGGAGTACACTTGTGCATTAACAAGCTGATAGGGGGAGGCTGGAGACTTCTAACTGGAAAATTGCATTGATTGTGCTGTTGTAAAAATGAAAAATCATTGTTCAGCTCAGAGATTCACCAGAGGATATCTGCTTTGCTGGCAAGGCACAAGAAACTTAGGAAATCTGTTGTTGTTGGCTATGGGGAGCAATAATCTCCCTTAAACAAGGGAGTGGAAATAAAAGGTTTTCAATGTGCCACAGAGCTCCTCTCCTTGTGAAGTAATTACTGCTCATCCTGCAGTGGGGCTGCAGAGATCCCTCTCCAATCCCAGCTCCTCTCGTGCCTCTCCTGCTTTGTTTGGGTTTGGGATTTTTGGTCTCATTGTGGAGGTGCTCTTCTCACAGTAATTTCAGCTAATTTGCCTGGTTTGGGGGAATTTCATTGAAAATTGGCTTCTTAACTGGAAAAATTGGATGGATGTCTCAGAGAAAGTGGTGAGTATTTGTCCTCTTCTTGTTCATGTGCTGAATTTTTTAGAAAGGCCCATAAACATTCTTGTGGGGAAAAAAAACCCCTTCTGTTCCCCAAGTGACTTTCCCAAGCTTGAGTTTCCAAGCCATGCATTTTCACACTCATGCTGCATGTTCTGGTCAAGGTTTTTAAATTACTGGTGGTTTTGAGAGGCAAAATACTTTAAAATCTGCCTTGTAAGGCTGCACAGAAAGTAGAATTTTAAAGATTATTGAGCTCCAAAAATCTATTTGTGGGTGCTTTGCTGTTTTGCCTGATAAGTGGCTGTCTGGAGTCCCAAAGGTAACTTGGGGGCTCCTTGGTTGTTTCAGTGATTCCTGGATGAAAATAAATGCAGAAAGTGTTTCTTTTTGATGATGGTGCAAATTCCATCTTCGTTCTGAGAATCCTGGGGCACTTTTAAATGTTTCATGGATGTGATTGTCGCTCTCTGCTCTGCACTGGTGCAGCCTGACCTCAAATCCTGGCAGCAGTTTTGGCACCAAAATATCTGAAAAATCTAGTCAGAACTGCCCAAAGAACAAAAACAAAGTAATAAATTCATTGAGGCTACAAGAAGGGCATGGAAAATTCAGAGTGTTTCAGGCAAAAGCACAAGGTAACCTGTTATGGGAAAATAAATTGAGTAATCTGAATAAGAAATGGAAATAAAGAATTGAGAAGGTTTGGCTGGACTAACCTGGAAGGGCCAAAGCCCTGTACAAGAGTCCTGATTATAAATAAACTAACTAAATTAATTAAATAAATCCTTCAGGATGGGGCATTTAGAGAAAAAAGAAAACAATGTTATCTCATTTGCTTCTCCTGTGTTTTGCTGCTTTGGAATGTGGTTGGAGATTGTTTATCCAACATGTGAATTGTTTTAACTTCATGACCAATCACGGTCAGGCTGTGTTAAGACTCTGGAGAGAGTCACGCGTTTTTAATTAGTTAGTATAGTTTTAGTATAGCATAATAAATATAATATAATATAATATAATATAATATAATATAATATAATATAATATAATATAATATAATATAATAATATAATAGCCTTCTAAGAACATAAAGCCAGATTAATAATTTCCTTCCTGCCATGGGGGACCCCAAAAAATCACATGGTGCCCAATCTCATGGTTTGAAAGTGCTGCTGCTGCTGTGGGTCCCTGGCAGCTCCAGGTGGGAATTTTGTCACAGAGATTTCTTTCCCCATCCTGCTCCTCCTGCTGGAAAGTTTTCATTTCTTTTGGAGCTGTTTGTGGCCCTGGGTTTCAGTGAGTGTGACTAAGTGGGGAGGCTGCCTGGGCTCTTGTGCTCTGCAGGGAGGCTTAATGGCTTTTCATGGTTAGTCACAGACATTCCCTAAAGATGCTCCATAAAATTGTGTGGATCTGCTGGAATAAAGATGCCAAAGTCTGTGCCATGGCTGCTGCCACGGTTTCCAAGTCTGGGATGGGCTGCAAGGTTGTTTTCAGAGTATTTTGTGCTTGTGTCATGCATTGCTAATTAAAGTTATTTGAGTTGTCTTTTCGAGATTAATTTAATCAATAGGGATATTATTACTACTTTGATGGTATCATTTGTACAAATTGTCACTTGAAGAAAGCAATTAACTGAGAATGCTTATTAGCTGATCTATTCCACACCTTATTTGTGCTGCAGGAATCGATTATTGGATTCATTAAGTCAAGCACAATTCAGGGATCCCTTTGAGGTTTAACCACTGACTTGAGCTGCTTTTACTGCTGCTGTTAAATTGGCTGGGGGTCGGCCTGGAGCTTTAAAAATATTTCCAGAAGGAAAGCGTGGCATCTCCTCTTAATATCCCAGACTTTTTCCCCCCAGATTTGTCCTCTGAATCCAGCAAGGCAGATCACTGGTGCTGCCAAGCCAGAGAATTTATGTGCACGGGGCACATGGGGTGGGATTCCCATGGAATCATGGACTGGTTGTGTTGGGAGGGATGTTAAAAACCATCTGATCCCACCCTGCCATGGCAGGGACACCTCCCACTGTCCCAGGGTGTCCCAATGTCCAGCCTGGCCTTGGGAACTGCCAGGGATCCAGGGGCAGCCCCAGCTGCTCTGGGCACCCTGTGCCAGGGCCTGCCCACCCTCACAGGGAACAATTCCTAATTCCCAACATCCCATCCAGCCCTGCTCTCTGTCCATTTGAAGCCATTCCCTGGGTCCTGTCCCTCCATCCCTTGTCCCCAGTCCCTCTCCAGCTCTCCTGGAGCCCCTTTAGGGTCTGCAAGGGGCTCTGAGGTCTCTCCAAATCCTTCCCATCTCTATCCTGAGCACCCCCAGCTCTCCACCCTGGCTCCAGCCCTGGAGCAGCTCTGTGGCTTCCTCAGGATTTGCTCCACGTCCTTCCCTCCAGCCAGGAATGAAACTCTGGGCTCACCTAGCAGGGAAAGAAATGGTGGAGTTGGAGCAAGATGTGGAAAAACCAACAGGGAAACCACGAAAACCTGGAGAAATTGTCTTTATCAGCCAGGGGGGTTGCCTCTGGCACTGCTGTGTGGGGCTGTGAGGGGATGGATCAGCTCTCCCTCCTCCATCTCCAGGCACAAGGAGCATGGAGCAGCTACTCCAGACCTGCTGGTGCCTTGCAGGACCTTGGAGACTCCTGCAGGTCAGCAAACATCAAAACCAAAAAAACCAAAAAAGCCCAAAAAGAATAAAACAACAAAAAACACACACAAAAAACCCCCCCAAAAAAACCCCAAAAAACCCCCAACCCTAAACATAAAAAGAGTTTGAAACAATCAATCAGAAAACCCCACCCCCCAAACTTGCCAGCAATATAAACTCAAGACCATTTTATAATTTTATATTTTATAAGTATCTTATCTGTCAGACACCAAAATCCAGTTAGAAATTAGGGCTTAAGGATCTTTCTAAATAAAAATCAAGTTAATTTGGAGGGAAATAAGACCAGGGTAGGCCTGACCTTGGGAAAGCTCTCAGAAATACTGATACACCAGGAATACACAACCTCCATCTGTTTGTTTGTACCTGCACCCCTGGTAGAGGAGATTTTGCTCTTTAGAGTGATTGTGGTGTGGTGGGAAGAAATATTTGCAGCCCTGAACAATACCCAATCACTGCCTGCATTTGTTTGAAGAGCAGGAATCAGCACAAGTGTGAGCCCAGCTCTGAGCTCTGCCATTTGAGCAGTCAGCTCGGGATTTGCAGGGTGCTCGAGGGTGCTTTGGCTGGAGCTCTGCTCTTGTTTTCTAAACTGATAAAATGCTCTCCATCCCAGCCTCCTGCAGGGGTGGAGCTGTGTTGGGATTGTTCCTGAGCAATTGAGGGTTGTTTCTGTCCCTGCTGGGGAAGGGGTGGCAGGAGGTGCCCAGATCACCTCCCTCTGAGAATAAAGGGTTTGTCCTCCCTGTTATCTGCTGGAGAGGGGAGCAGGGAGGAAGGACTGATTGTCACCCCAGCTGATTCTCCTCTTGTCCCTGACAAGCTGATTTTCATGCTGGGAAGGCTCTGATCATCTTTGCTGGGAAATGTGACGGCTCTGCCCGTGCAATAACCGTGTGAGAGTCACTGGTGGGTGAAGAAATCCATTTCAGGACTCAGCCATGCCTCATTGTCACTTCAAACTCTGGCAGGTGTCAGCTTTTCACTGATTCTCCTGGGATTGGTGCCTCTGGCAGGCAGTGCTTGGGATTTGTCAGGGGCTGCTTTAACACTGGGCCAGCTCAGAGCCTGTCCAGGGCCTGGGTGGTGAAACCCAGATGTGGAGAGAGGAACAGCAGCCCTGGGGCTCTTGGGCTGTGGAGCCAGGACAAGGCTGGGCAGGTCTCAGGTTTGGTGTTGCTGAAATGGCTCCCAAGGTATTAAAATCTCTTTT